TCTATCTAGCAATCTATCTATCTATCTATAATATGTACGATCACGGAATGGCTATCTGTGATTTATTCAAAATAGTAAACACGTTACCATGGGCAACACAATTTCTTAAACACATTACCAAGGGAACAGAGTATTTCAAACACACCTTCAGTCGTTTGAGTGTTGTCCGGCCTGTCAATTGAAGGAACTGTCAACTGTCATTTTCTTATTTTAATGCAATCAGAATTATTCAAACAATATCTGTTTGTATCAGAATTCTTCATTGAAAATGTATGCGAAATGTAGACGAAAGTGAAATCTGAGAGAATGTTAGGTACTTGAAGAAAGTTCGTTTAAATATATATGTCCGAAAGTTATTCGTTTCTGAGATACAGAGTGTCAAAGTTGAATTCTAATTTTTGTTAATAAATTTCTGAATAATTGTGATACTCAGATGAAGTTTGGTATCTAGGGGTATTTTTCAATGACAATATCAAATTTCCTGTCAGTTTGTGGAGGTGGCACCACCTACATATCTTTTGAGTCTTTTGAAAAGTCATAACTTTTTTGTGCGTACCTGTATCACGTTTTATAGTAGAAAAATAGATTCCTACAAGACTTTTTTGTAAAAAATATATTTTTAGTAGTGGTCGCTGCGAGCAATTGTTTTCGAGTTATTGGAATTTGAAATAATCAATGCAAGTAATTTGGAATTCAAAATTGATTCATCGAGTAAGGAACATTATTTTTCTTCAATTTCATTCTGAAATAGGAATCTGGTGTTACAATTCAATACTAATAATATTAATAATAATAAAATGTTCCTGTATTCGAATATCAGGTTCATTTAATTTTCAAAGATGTTCAATTTCCAGTTCCGATATAAATACAACCACATGGTACAGAGTGACATATTTGTGTATTTTGATGGATTCAGTTGGAACAAGTGTTAGCCCTGATAACAAATACCGCGCCAGTGCGGGGTATAGGTAAAAGAAGTGGAAAATGTTAGGTTAGTGAGCATGTCAACAACAATAACAGCGATTATTCGTTTCTCTCCATATTCAACTGTGTTCGGCTCGGTAATCAAATAAAAATAAACAATATCGTTTTGTGAGACAAAGAGGTGTTGCTGGCCGTGATTATTCAAAAACAAGTTATCCAATCAATCATATTCCGAGGATAACGAATGAAATACAGATCAAGCAAGTATGTGAATCTTGAAGGCTTTCCTCATCAAAACAAATATACTTGGCTATATGTTGTATTCATATCTCCAGCAAGGGTAGGAAATGCCAAATCTGCCGAAATCGGAAACAAATCAGGTAGGTATACGTACCAACCCAAATAAATACCCAACCGTTACAATGTTGTTTATTCTTGATGACCTAGTACATCCTTTTTAGTTCATAGGAGCTAAAGTTCAACTCTACTTCCTAGGAACTGAAAGGCCTAGCAACATACCTATGTTGGTGTCAGTAAGAAAAACGTCAATTCTAGAGCTAATTTTGGTATTAAAACGGACGACTTTCAAGTCGGTTGCAGAAAAATATTTGTTCAGGGGTCATGCACATTTTCACTCAGACTTTCAAATACAGAATTGGTTATTTGTGTCGTTTATGAATTGGTTTGATATACTTGTAATGTTCACGTATCTGTAGCAACTGTAGTCGGAAAAAAATTAAATCAATTTTGTGTAATTCACCAGATTCACCCAAAACTGATAACAAGGAGAGGAACCTATTATCACAATGGAAACAAAAAACACTACTATATGTATTTGGTTTCCGACCTGATTTGAAAGTATCGAAACATTACCTAAAACATGAGAAACCTATAATAAACCTCGAATATTCGAAATAAGTGCTAGGAGGAGAGCATCCTCCTTTTGCGATTAAAAAATCTTTCAATTTCAACGTTCGGTTGATCGATAACGTAGCGTTCTGCAAACTCATGTTCATAGGTGGAAAAATCTCATTTCGACCTGGAAAATGAAGTTCTGCAGTCTTGATACTGAATTTCGAAACAACTTGTTATGGGATTTTAATTTTCGAAAATCGGTCAATGGGTCCTAAATTAGGAATTTGTAGCGAGTTGAAATCGCCTACATTGTATATATCGAGCTGAGTATATACAGTCACATAGAGTGAGGTTAACAAAATAAACGAAGTAATGGAATTGAAGTGGGTAGACCACTTTCAATATCGCTGAATGCGAATAAATGTTCCTCTGATCTGATGAATAAAACAGTATTTTCATTTTTCATTATCATTGTTTTTCACTGCTGAGAGAGTCTATGTTTTATGAATGAGCTATTAAATAAGTGGAAGTGCTATAATATCATCATAGCGAACTGATAGAGTGTCTATTGAAATTCATGAGATTTCTGGGCCAGATAAACTATTTCAGGCACAGGAATGGATATCGAACAAACCGTAGCATGAGGCACACAAATTTAATTGATGGATTATGACTATTCTATACGCTTATTATCGAGAACAAATTAGAATCGCTTATTTCCACGGTATCTTCTGTATCACGGTGATATTTTTTGTTTACTAAAAATTATCGGATTAAGTCCACCAATACAGAAGACGATTCCACACAAAGGTAATCAGCCAAACTCGTTATTTAGCAGTAATTTTTGTTGGCATTCATATCGGTGATAATAATAATATCCGACATTGAAATGCATCTTTTGCTGCCATTGTTCAATGACTACTGACCCCTTTTGGGACTTGTCATTGCCGATACCGCAGAAATCTGGCCATCTCAGGTTGTCACATCGCTGGGACTCATTAAAAGCGTAGAGACTTTTTCGAGGGGTAAATCTCCAGGAGAAATGTGTACACCAGACTTCCAATGAACAGAGACTTCCAAAGACTCCCAAAGACTTCCAAAGACTTCCAAAGACTTCCAAAGACTTCCAAAGACTTCCAAAGACTCCCAAAGACTTCCAAAGTCTTCCAAAGACTTCCAATGACTCCCAAAGACTTCCAAAGAATTCCAAAGACTTCCAAAGACTTCCAAAGACTTCCAATGGAGTGTACACCAGACTTCCAATGAGATTCACCCCTCGGACTTTTTGGATAGCGAAGAAGAACCTAACTGCTCGAAGTGTAGGAAGAATCAGAAATGTTTGAAGTCATTCTCAATCCAGAAGTTTCCTGGAATTCTAGCAATTCATCTGAATCAACTCTCGTACTCAGAAGATTTCATCAGAGGAAAATGACCGACAACGTCGACTTTTCCTTGAACGGCTTGGATGTGAGCCACTATACGCTTCTGACGATGTTATTTTATGTCGATAAGATCTAAATGCCATTTCTAATTATATCAGTACCACCAACAGCTAACACTACAGGTTCGGCCTATCATAGCAGATATCCATCTTCCAATAATGGGGGCTAAAATTTTCAGTCTCACCAGTTGGCGTTACTGAAACATGAGGTCAGGTCATCGAGAATATTCGAGAAACATTATGTTGAGAATTCAAACAAATAGAAATACTCAAGATATGGAAAGACTTGATTTCATTGACGGAGGAGATTTGGCAAAAGGCCAAATGTCAAGAAAATGAGAAGTATATTTATCAGTTCTACCAACCCTAATCTCATGTTTTGGTGGCGCAGTTTGGTGGATAATAAATAATGTTAGCCCCCATTGGACCAAGTTCAACGACTCTCGTGTGTCTTTGATATCGGCTAAATCTCTTGTCAGTGAAGAAGCATATATGTGTCGTGTATTTCATCAGAAAGAGGGCCTCTACTTGAAGCACTTTCATTTATTGTAATCATTTTGAATATTATTTTTCAATTTGTTGCGGAAAAATGAGTAAGTATTCAATTCCAATGTATTTTTTGGAATGCTATATTCATTATCCTCTTTTATTCGATCATGAAATGATCATACGAATACTCGCGATACTGTGTTCCTGGAAATATTAGTTGAGTGACATACTCTAGAGTCTAGACCTTGCTTTATAATTCTGTTCATGGCATTGATCCAAAACTTCTCGCCTATTCCTCAGACCAAAACAATTCGATACAAGCAAACTTATATCTCAGTTTAAGTTTGATTAGTTTTGACGCTAGATGGCTCTTGAGTTAAAATTTTGTCATTTAATTATTTCATGAGATTTTATTCAAATTCGGTCTGTTGCCATAGCTTCATTGGGAAACAAAACACACATATCATGATTATTAAGAATTTCATTCCATGGGCGAAGAAAATGATTTTTTCAGTGAATGAACATCTGAAACTTGTACGTCAATAGAAAGAAGGGAAAAGGGGTTCGAATATGGAATTCAGATTGAGTAATTCGTAGTAATGTAATAAAAATCTTGGCTTCCCATTAAAAAAATTGTTGATGACGTCATAACTTTGACAACTCGGACGTGTTATTTTTGTTACTCATGTCAAAAGATGCGGAAACAGTTTGACGTGTTTTTGCATTTTTTTCAAAAGTGATCGTTGTACGTATTATGTATTTTGTGCATTACTTCATCATAACCCTGTATAAATAATGAATGTGATATATTGTCTCTGAAAAATTCTACTGAATATTCAATTGGTACCTAACAAAAATGTCTATCACCAGAGATGAAATAGTATTCAAATACTATGAGAAAAATATTAGGTAGGTATTATATGAAATATATCGGATCGCGTTGTTATTGCTGATGTAACCGAATAGCCATCCATAGTTGTTCTATGAATGAGTAGAATGCAAACTGATAACTATTGAAAACAAGATCGAAAGTTGTAGTAAGTATTAATGTTTTATTGCTCAAAATGTTTCCAACAATAAAGGCTAAAGGAACTTGTGGAAAGTGACAACTTGATCATTTTCAACAGTATATGATAATAATTACTATTCCTGCTGTCCCCAAATTTCATGTAATCTAATAAACATTCATATCCTCAATTTCGTGAAGTTATATACAGCAGCTGGGTAGTAGAGTATATAGATCGAAACGCGCACTAGAATCTATCAAAACGGACAATGTGAAGTTAATTACCTAATCCAAGGATTCCCATTAGTAGAAGGACAATACCGGATAGGAATGACAACAAAATGGCGTATTCTGGACCATATCCATTGATCGCTTGGAAGGTCATCAGAGCTGAGATGGCAGACGGGCCCATCGGAACATCTTTACAGCTGCCCATGAAAATATATACAAAAGTGCCTAGGAAGGAGCTGTAAAGACCATATTCGGTTGGTAACCCTGAAATGAAAAAAACCATGGTAGAGGTAGGTGTGGGTATACAAAAAAATAGTGGAAACGAACAAGAATTCCTAGAGAAATAATAAGGATATTATCATCTTTTATATATACCAGGTGCATGGTCCAGATTTTTATACAATCATTTCGACAACTGATCGAAAATCGTTAAATTGGTAAACTTTTCTGGATCAACACTTGTCCGGAAATGTACCAAATCGATACAAGATGACTACTACTACCACTATAATTGATATAAATGATTTATCGACTCATAGATATAATCGATACATCGATTCCATCGAGAATTATCAATATTGTCATGCTTTAGGTGAAATCCCTTTTGATTATTAGGATTTCACAAACCAAATCTTGGAACAAATCATCAATTCTCAAAATCATTCCATTTCCGATATAAGTTTGGGCCATATTTCGAATTCAACTGGTCAGTACTGCCAGTAAATTCACTGACTCAGCTGAAAATCTGTTTTTCAAAATATATAATGAAAAATACAGTGCTGTAATTCGGAACACATTTTTATGGTTTTCATCAGTAATCAGAAGCAGTTAATCAGCTGCTCAACTGTTGAGATTTGAAAATTATTCTCAGCGTCAATTATTTCAATAACAGGTATTTTTTGATTTCATATAATATTATTAATTGATTATTGTTGAGACAAGACTTACTGTTCAATAAACAAGGAAATTTCCTCCCTATCTGAAATAATGACAATTCACTGAAATCACACTACCTTTTGGTAGTCAGCAATTTCAGGAAAATGTTAAGTCAAAATATTTGGAATGAATGGTATGTCTGCTCACAAGTATCTGGCACTTTCAGAGAATTTTTTTGATTTCGGAATGGAAAATCAGCAGATTCAGTAGTGTCAGTTGAATTCGGAATATAGCCATTGTCTCTGCCGATCAAGTTCATGCCCTGAGGCCTGCTGATTCTGCATTGATCATCAATAATAATTATAGTTGACCTGAGGAATAGGGAGATCAATCAGAGCCAGAGCTCAATCAGTCGTGTTTTCCGAGTCCAACGAAGAGGTGGTGGTTACACAACTTTGTACTATCAGGGTAAAGTGGTGAGTAACCCTTACACTATCAGATATGGTATTTCTTTCACATTAATTTCATATTTACCATTTTATTATCGAAATTGATTGAAGAAATGAGTTATCTACAAAGTGATTCCTGAGTTGATACTTCATTCATCTGTGTATAGGACTTGTTGAAATTTACAACTTTCTCAAATAACTTTTTTCATGAAACTGAAAAGTGAAGAAGTTACATTATTACAAATTGTGTTCAATACGGTCCCGTCTCAATTGAATAAGGTGTTCGAAGTTGTCACCATTAACTTTAACTTTGCTCGACGTAACGGCACGAGCTCAGATAAACTACATTTATTCTGTATCTCGCTCATTTTTCAGTGATCTGAATAAAAATAAATGAAGAAACTGTGCATGTATTTTAATGAGCTCCATGCATAGTAAAAGAAATCAGCAACTCATCAAACAATTTTTTCCACTACTAACCTGAGAAATCACCATTATTCAAGCATTTACTTCGATGAGAAGTGACACTTTTTTAACCTAGGTAAAAAATGATAAAGAAATTTTACCTAGGTAAATAAAACTGTCAATAGTGTCAATGATATGAAGTATACACATGTAAATACCGATGCTTATGCAACCAATGAAACATTAATTATTAGCCGAAACGTAAAACAAATATAGTTAATACTGCAAAATTCACTGCAGCTGAAGACGATTTCTGGAATTAGTATAAAAAATGTTCGGGATTATGTAAATTATTAAATTCTAAAAATATCACAATTCATATTGAGCTGCGCTGTCACTGTCATGCGCTAATTATTAGAGATGGATATCGACTGAGAGAATATGTTCGATTGATATGATTTATTACGTAGGTACATCAGGTAGCGTGGTAACAGTAACATCTGCGTTGTTCATGAATAAGGTTAAATATTTCAAATCATTTCAAAACACTGTATTTTAAATATATACTTGCGATATTTATCAGTATCGATATTCTGATTCCGATTCCGTATACGCATGCGTATACGTGACCGAACGCATCTCTAATCTATGTTTATGATATCGATATCGTTGACACGTTGACCTTGACCCGTTTCGTTTCGTTTGTAAATAATCACAATGCACCAACCATTCTACCTACCACTTATCACGGGATATTATCACTAGCGGCTAAATTCAAATTCAAAAGGTTCCTCATATTTTTAATGCAACCAATGAAATAATATCTACCTATATTATTATAGGTAGATGTTAGTTAATTCTGAAACAGCAAGGATAAAGAACACTAGGATTATCTAAACCTATACCTACCTCTACATCATGAAATATCAACATCATAAAGTTTACTTCCTAAATCCCAGATATTATAATTAGGCCTGCAGGTAGGTACTTACTTATCAATCATTATACAAAAATGTACTTATTAATATGATATCGATATACCTATCTACCTATGGATTGTCTATTTGAAATTATAGTTGATGGTACAATTGTGGCATATCATGTGAATTCCTGCATTTTTTGTATTGATTGAATTGATATTATTGACAGGTAAGTTAACCTCAGAATTATGGATAGTTGTTGTATTTTGATAATATTCATCGTGACTTGGCTCACAATGAAAATCATCAGCATGGAAGTTTTCTTCTAGGAAATTATCGCGTTGAGCAAAGGAAGTTGAAGGTAAATTTTGATGTTCATCAAATGAGGCTTGATTTTCTTTTTGCACTAAATTGGCAATTCTTTTTTTGTCCGCTATTGACTCCGCAATATATCCTTCTGCGACAGTAGCTGACTTCCATCCACCATGCCTTTTTAGACTTAGTAAGTCTCCACCATTTTCTGCCAAAAGTGTGGCCGAGCTACGCCTCAGAGAATGACCGGTATAACATTCAGGACTTTCTAATCTCAAATATTGAGCAACTGCATAAGGTACTTTACTGATAGTATTATGCCCAATATTTTGTCTGGCATGTTTACCTTTACGGTATGATATAAATAATTTTTTAATTTCAGTTGGCCTGTTAGCTAAGTATTTTTTGAGTACATTACTCCATTCTGGCTCAACAATGACAAATTTTCTAGATGTTCCATTCTTGGTATTAGGAATATTGATAATAATAATATCCTCTCGAACGTTTACATCATCCAGAACCATCTTACAAAGTTCGTCTGTCCTGCAAGCTCCAGCTACACCAACTACCAAAATAGCCTAAAATATCAATTCTTGTAGAAAACTAGTCATAAAGTTATGAGTAAAATATCTATACTACCTTCTTCGATAAAAATTCATTATCAGGTGCCTCTTTAATAAATCTATCGATTTCTCCTTTCGAAAATACTTTAGATTTCTTTGGTTTATAGGAACTATTCTTCTGCTTCAAAAATGCCGTGAGCTTGAAGAATCTTGATATGTCGATATTTTCTTTTATTGATAACGTTGTCTTGAGCATCGAATAGTTGCTCCACAATGTGGATATTTTATTATTATTAGCTTTCTCTTGGAAATATGCCAATAAAACATTTTCTGATAATTCAACTATTTTTTTGCTTTCACACCAAATTTTCAATTTGCTATATGCATTCATATACAAACGCTTCGATTTGGATGGCAACAAATCGCCACTTGCATCAATTGCCGCTTTCCTAACTTCGGGCGGGGTACATGCTTCCATATCAGTGTCACTTGAATAATTATCACTCATTTTTAGTTTATATTCGAAATTTCACTTGGAATTTTATACCTTCAGCATCTAGTTTCTGACAGCCAAGTCAAATTTCATTTTAGTTTGTTTGACCACTGGACTCCCAGGCTACTTGATATATATCGACATTTTAGTAATATGCTTGATAAACACGGTAAATGGCATAGCTCCCTCCTTCAGTGAAAATGAAAATCTGGATGATAAAATATGTTGATATTTCAGTGTTAGTAGTGGAAAAAATATTATATACACTTCGGGAGAGAACGCTATTATATAGCTCGCACATTATATCCTTCGGCGCTTCGCGCCTCAGGATATAAAAGTGCTTGCTATATAATAACTCACTTCCCACCCTAGGTGTATAATATACTATTTTATGTTCTTTATGAATCATTTCTGTGATTGTAAAAATAGGGTTATGATTATGGATAGTGTTCATTCATTTTATCACTCAATTAATTTAATTCATTCACTTGTTTAATTCTTATATTATACTGTGACTTTTCATTCATCCAAAATGTATATTCGATATTATATATATTCTTTTTGTCTTTCTTAATGAATATATGTTTTTAGATATTTCTGAATGTGAGAGCAACAGGAAGAATGTTGAACAGATACATATTTAATTTATTTCTACGAATTCCTCTTATGTTCGAACATTATTATGTCCATACCAGACTGCCATATCATTTTGATATTTACTCAAGTATTCAATATGGATTTTTCTACGAGATTGCCATCCTTCGACAAAAATAAATATTTTGACTTGATTTGATTCTGATTAGGAGCCTCTCCGTTTGGTTTATTTCTTCTCAATAAATCTGTTTCACTTAATATGTTCCTTCGTTAATCTGAAGTTTTGAAAGCATAAGTTCACCCTCGAAGCTTCTTCCTCAACCAAGCACTAGTCACTGGTGTGATAATATCTCAATAGGCACCTATAGGAACCTCTTGAAAACATTGAGGAATGATGGAGTAAACTTGTTGGAAATCGGTATATATGTCGCGGTAAATTACGTTTTTTTCCTAATCAGAAGTTATGTTGACCTTGAAAAAAAGTATTTCCAACAAGCTCATCGATGAATCGTTAAATGACGTTGAATGTATGTTATTGAAACGTATGAATAGAGGTAACGCTATTGACATAACCAAATGAGAAACGTTGAAAAATCAACGAGTATTCTTTTTTCTTAACTAACGTCGATCAGTTACGTAACAAAAGAGGTGA